ACGCCTGGATACGCTTCCAAAACTGCCAGTGAGCGACGGTGGAAACACACACCAAACCCTGTCCTGTGCACAACAAAACGCCCAACGCATAGGTTTGTGGTTTGAATACAAACTTCTACAATGATTTCACACACAAAATAACGAAAACATATTAAAAACAAATAAAATAAAAAAAAATGAAAAAATGAAAGGAGGGGGATTGCTACCTGTAACAGATATGACCCTCTCAAGTGGAGATCGGTAGCTCAGTGGTTAGAGTGCCTCGGTATGAGAGAGGAGACGTAGGTTCGATTCCTACCCCGGTTTCACTTTTATTTTTCCTTCAAAAAATAAATGGGGGGCTGTCGCTCTTCAGACAACCACCCCCAAAAACTAGGTTTATGTTACACACTCGAGACAAGTACATACACGTCTTTGCTTCAAAATTATGTTTGTGTTTGTCGTTCAAAAGATACCCTCTCAGAAAAAAAAATGGGTTTATATTACACACCTGTGACAAGTCCGAACACGTCTTTGCTTCAAAGTTATGTTTGTGTCTGGCGCTCAAAAGATACTCTTAAAAAATAAGGGTTGACTTACACACACACACACACACACACACACAAGGGACAAGTCCGAACGCGTATTTGCGTTAGGTGGGGGTTTGTCGCATTTCATAAACGCCCTAGAAAAATTAGGTTTGAGTTACATACAGACAAGTCCGAACACGTCTTTGTTTCAGGTGGGAGATAGTCGCCCCATAGCGGTTTTTGTATAGGCCTACAGGGGATAGGATTTTTGCCGCGAAAATTTAAAAAAAATCCAAACGAGTGTAAGAGCATGCCTCCCGGGCGCACTTGGAAATGCTTCTTTTAAAAAAATAGTTCTACACTTGACCGCTAGGTGGCGCCACGAACGCTCTCCCGCCGATATAAATTGAGCGCGTGCATCTCGCTCTGCATCATTTGTCCTGACAACACCCAGACAGAGTTAGGTTTATGTTACACAAGAGACATGTCTGAACACGTCTTTGCTTCAAATTTAGGTTTGTGTTTGGCGCTCAAAAGATACTCTTCAAAAAAATAATAGTTGAGTTATACACACACGCACAAGGGACAAGTCCGAACGCGTATTTACGTTAGGTGGGGTTTGTCGCAATTCATAAACGTCCTAGAAAAATTAGGTTTGAGTTACATACAGACAAGTCCGAACACGTCTTTGTTTTACGTGGGAGATTGTCGCCTCCTTCCAAAAATTTAGGTTTGAGTTACACACCCTAGATATACCCTTTCAAAATTAGGTTTAAGTTACTTACACGAAAGACAGCCTTTCAAAAATTAGGTTTGAGTTAGGTGCCAAAAAAATACCCTTTTAAAAATTAGGTTTGAGTTAGGTGCCAAAAATGTACCCTTTTAAAAATTAGGTTTGAGTTAGGTGCCACAAATATACCCTTTCAAAAAATAGGTTAGGTTAGGCCCTAGGTGGGGGGAGGGTGACATTGGGGGACAAAATGTAAATGTTAGGTTTGGGTTGGGCGTCAAAAAGATAACCTTTCCAAAAATTTAGGTTAGGTTAGACGTCAAAAAGATACCCTTTTGAAAAAATTAGGTTTGGGTTAGCATCCCTGAACAAAATGGCGGACCGCAACATTGGGGCACCAAGATGGCGGACCGCAACAATGGGGCACTCATACTACTAACACAGCGTGTGGATGCGGAAGTATACTGTCAAGTGTGCGACATAAAAGGGTATGGACATGAAGCGTGCAACCGGATGCGTTTGACGCTTCCTGTGAGTCTGTGAGGAGGTGCAACAGCTCTCGATTTTCACATGGAAGGAATCGACTGACCTCCAACCGTTGCCATGCTGTCCAACACATACACATGATCGTATGTCGAGTCTATGGTGGAGGGGCCTTATGGCCAGAGGAAGTATGCAAAATCTACTCCTGTGGCGTTTACGCTGACAGCTGACACACGCGGTATAGTATACTTGATGCAGCAGTATGAGAAATTTCGGTCGTGAAAGTTCCGTGTGAAGCGGCGGTACA